CATGGTATAGCATTCTTAATATGGATTAATAAACCATATGAGGCTACATCTCCAATTGAAAGAACTTTAATTTTATTGGAGAAAATCAGTCTTGTCTAATGTTGCAACTTCAAAAAAATTTATTACAACTAATGAGATGATAATGAATTTTGAATTTACAATTGAAAATTTAGATGATAATTCTAATTTTATAAAGTAATCAAACAAGCCAAAGCAAAACAAAGATAATCAGTTGAAACATATAATATTAGAAATAAAGAGGAAAGAATACTTTATACATTATCAACTTATCAGTTAATGTTTGTTAATCTAACTAAAAAATATTCATTGCCAATTGATAATTTCATATAAAATTTGCAAAAGAAAAAAAATGTTTGAAAATTAAAAAAGCAAATTATTCTAATAAATTCTGTTAATTTAAGATTATAAACATTTAAAAAAATAACATTTACACATTGAAAATAGGTTTTTTTATTAATTATGAAATTTAATTTGAAAATAATTTTACAAATTCCTAAAGTACTTTTACATTTGACATTCAATGTTTTAGCTTACATTTTAGGTTACGTTGGATATTTTTACATGAACATGATTAATATTTTTATAATTGTTATAAAGAGCATAAAAAACAAATTTTATATAATGCATCAAATTATGATCACAACAAAAATAATTCCATTTTTCTGATTCATCAACGATGTGCACTTTTAAATCACTTTTTTTTTCACATTTTCAGCTTGAGGCACATGAAAGAACAATTTTTCCGATGTTTTAGTTGTTGTGCTTTTATTTATAAAATACGTTCTGTACGTATTTCCTTTGTTCATTTTTAAAATAAATTAATTTCTTACGAAATAATTTCGTTATTGCAGTGTGACATCACAGCACATTCGGGAGGACTCCTATCTGAACAGTCTTCGGCATTTCAATAATACTTTATTATTTATTTTCTTGCACAATTTGTGTTAAAAAAATTATTAAAAAATTGCATTTAAAGATATTATATATATATAAAAATTATAAAATGCAATATTTTTCAAAAATTATGCAAACTCTCGATTGATTGATTTTCTTATATTTGACACATTACTCCACAAACACAATAGAGTAGTAAATAAGCCTTAAAGAATTGATCAATCATAGTCGATTATTCTTCTCACATTCGACTATGATCAATTTCTTAAGCTTATTTTACAATGTGCTCTTTGTTTCCTATTTACTTCTCGCTTTTTTCTTTCCTTTGCGATCATTTTAACAATTATATTTCTTGTTATTGTTTCCTATTTTTTCCGAAGTTTGTTAACTTTTATCTGGGCGAGAAAAAACAAAAAATCAAATAAGAAACAAAAAAGATGTAAAAAATAGCCAAAAACAAGAAATAAAAAAACTTATTGTAGAATAGATTTTAAGGCTTAAGACTTACAATTCTATTGTGTTTGCGGGATTATGCGTTATGCAAAGATCTATGCTTCGACCTTTAATGTTAGACGCGATGGCTATCCTTCTATACTTCTGCGTCGTTATGATAAACTACTAGTGATCCGAGATGTAAAACGTAAACAATAGTGACTCTCAAAATTCCGATTGAGCACGTCGAGCATTCATTTTTTTCTCACACGTTAAGGAGAATCTTACGCGTGACACGCATCACCATTGTTTTCATGGTGGATGACACGTGGATGACAAAAAGAGAGGAAGAAAGATCGATCATGCACACGTTTGCATCTCTCGAGTTCAATTTCGATTCTTCTCTTCCTTTCTAAGTCGTTTCTGTTCCCCTTTTAAGGACGGATGAAATGAAGGATATGAGTGAGAGAGAGAGAGAGAGAGAGAGAGAGAGAGAGAGAGAAGGGGGGAGGGACAACGCCCCTGCACCGCAACCTGGATCCTCTCCATCGACGATCGACGGGAAGGCTGATTCGCGCGCTGATATTCACTCGTCTCGCCACCGCGCCGAAAACAGCGCTGTAACGAGATAATTGAGAATAAGTTTTGCGATCGTTCTACCAGATGGAAATCAATTCTGAAACATCCTGGACTCCAGGCGAATCACGTACATAGCCGCACATACGCATTTTAATAAATTAAATTACGTATTGAATTATATAAATTACACAATTTACAAGTGAAATAGGTTCTCCAGATATCGCTAGAGATGAAAAAAATATTTCTTGCTCCGATTTTTTCAATAAGAAAATGTGTAAAAATATTTACTATATATTTACACATTTAAATAAAATACGTACATGAAATGCCATATTAATTGATTTGTATAATATATTTGTTTTTAACAAAATTGGTATCCAAGTGATATAGAATTAGTGTATTTATTAATCACTAAAACCTGAAAATTGCACAATTAAATAGTGACATTTCGTACACTACCCTTTATATATTCAGGACAGGCATTTCAAATACTTTTAATAAAACAGTTTTTGCAAATACAAATGTATTTTGTATTTCAGCGGAACACATGAAAATATTTTGTATTTCAAATACTATTGTAAAATTGATGATTCAATCTTATTATTTAAATTACGAAATACAAAAAACTTTTAATCTTTCAATTTTACATACAAAATACGTAATCACTTTTATGTGATCCACTGAAATAAAAAATTGTTTTAAATAAAAGTAATTTAAATACATGTTCAGCCCTATATATTTTACAGGTGAAATTTCGGAGGTTCTCCGGACGTTACTAAACAGAAAAAAAAAACACCTGCTTAGATTTTTCCAAGTCTACATTCGGAAATACCTGCACCCGAACGGCCTCACGTGTTATTTTACCCTCGTTTAACAGTGAACAAGGATAAAATGAGCTATAAGGCCACTCGATGTTTCTGAATGCAGCTCAACGAATATAAGAAACGTGTAAAAATGTATATTGAGAAAAATTTCTGATTGAAAAAAGACGAACTAGATAATTCTGATTAGAAGAATTAGTCAATCAGAACCATTTTGTTTTCTTTATCTCAACTAGAATTATAATAAAATTATGCATAATAAATGCAACTATAAAATTCTGATTTCTCCATTTTCAATCAGAATTCTAATTATCATTTTTTTTCAGTGTAATTTAGTGACGATCCGAATTGAACGATCGTAAAAAGATATGAAGCCGAAGGTACGAAAGATTCCGTTCGGAGAGCGTCCTTCAAGATTACGAGCGCTGTTCGTTAGAAATTCCGCGGCGCGAATCTGCGTCAATTATTAAGACTACATCCCCGCGCCTCGAGAAAGAACACGGAAAGGCGCATACGCGCGTATCCTGAAACCTCTCACACATTGGAGACTGAGGATTGCGAATTAGAGATTAGAATTCGATCAGTCAGATAATTTTAATTTTAATCCATCTCGTTTTAATTAGCTGAATTCTAATCTTTCATTCGTCCTCAATATATAGTGCAATTTAAAGGGAAAGAGCAGCCTAAATTCCTGTTTTCTCATAGTTTGTCCGTCCTTATAAAAACGAACCTATACCTAATAAAAGGAAATAAAAAAAAATCAACTCTACGACCAAGCGGAGTACCGGGCGGAAGAGTAATCAATTTGCAGTGCTGGTCACTGATAACGTCACATGCGGTAAAAATCTAGGATCCTTTGGCCGCATCCGCTGATGTTCGTTGTCACGAGAAGTTCATTGTTACAAAACACACGGATCCTGTACAAAATGTGCTTCCGCGAGAAATTTTATTCCTTGGAGATGGAGATCGTGCGATTTGTTAGAATCGTCGGCGCACCGTCTCAAATCAAGAGGCTCGTTGAGAGGGAGGGAAACGACGTGACGCGAATAAGCATCAGCCGCGGCTTATAGACTTAACCGACTCGCTCGACCGCTCGACCGGTCGGAACTGCATCTCGCGGTAGGTGAATCACACGCGCCGAATCACTTCTAGGTCGTTTAGTCGCTACTCCATAACGACAAAACCAGCTGATCCCGCGCGCTTTCCGCGGGAGGAAGACTGGCGAGAAGCCGCCTTGAGAATGCTTGAGGAGGCTCGCGAGGACTTTACTTTGTCGGGATTTTTCGACTGCTACTCACCGTCTCACTCCGGATTCCGAGGATCGTGATCGCGGGTACGAACCGCGATTGCGACACGCAGTGTTTTCGAAGCCGTTGTTTGCGATACAACGCTTGTTAAGAGCAAAGAGAGAAATGCACGGCCACGGAATGACTTCCCGATCGAACGAAGCTGAACGAGGCCAGATGAAACCAACAAGTTACCGAGTAATCAAGCGATGGTGGGCTGTAACGCCGAACGATATCGAAATTGCTAAACGATACCAACCAACACCAACTGACGCCGATCGACGACTGATTTTATCGAACTGTTCGCGATCAGCGATGAAATGCGACTCGCGCCGCGCTCGACTCGCCATCTTACGTCGCGATACTAGAAATGGGCGATTAGAGATCGATCTTTTTAATCTCGACTTTTTTGATCGATTATCTCGATTAATTCGCAGCTCGATTCTTTCGAAAAAATCGAAAATTTCGACTTCGATAGCGAACGACGCGAGTGTGCTACTACCGACCAGATATTGTTAAAGACCGATATACTTACGGGAGTTTACATCCTTGAGAATATTGAAGTGATTAAGAGTTAAAAACTGATAATATTGTATTAATTTTATGATTTATTAGTTTAGTAGACGTATTTATACATTTAGAACTCAATAATACTCGATTTTTCTTTATAATTGTAATTTGATTTCAGTCATCGTTATCGTCAAAGTTTGATTTTCAACGGAGATGATAACTACAGAGAAAAAAATTGTAATTTTTCTGCAATATATACCTAGCAAATGAGAAATGGATTGAAATGGATTAAAATGAATTCAGATTTTCAGAAATAGGGATTCATGAATGTTAAAATAAATTTTTTTCGATCCTGAATGCATTTTTGTTCATTTACAGGAATTGCATAGAGCATATCTTTATGCTTTTCAATTTAAAAATAATATTATAGTATTTTGTGTACATTATGAATACTGTTCAATTCAAAATTGTGAATAGGAAATACAGTTTTTCAATCCAGTTGCATTTAAAAATAATATCAGTCATTTCTGTGCATCGTGAATTCTGTGCACTGCTCAATTCAAAATTCTGAATAGGAAATGCAGTTTTTTAATCCAATTGAATGAAAAAAAGTTTTTCTTTTAAAATGGACCATAAATGCTACTTAATCTAATTAAGTTTTAATCTAACTAAATTCAAAAAAGTAATAATGTAAAAATAATTGAGCTATGTTCTTTTGATTCTCTTTGATTAGAAGTAAAATGAATGATCGATGTGAACATACGCAAACCAAGTCAAACACAGCCCGAATATTACTGATCACAGCGCGCGACATCGGCCAATCGAAATTATTAGATTATTCGACACTTACCCAATGACTGCGTTTAGCAGAAAAAGCAGTTTTGCAACTGTTATAAAACTCTTCAATATGATTGGTTTATACACTTGAGTGAGGAATTAAGAACAAAGCCAATGTTGTCTCATAGTAATATAATTGATTATATTTTATTATTTTTTTTTTTAATGATATTTTTATTATGTATATATAATTTCGTGCACTGGTTTAGCTGATTGTACTTGAAGTAGAGAATGAATAACACATTTACCAATTGAAAAATGATGTAGCGGCGGATAACATAAAAAATCATTCATAATCCAGAGATCCCAGGTTCGAATCCCACTAAGGTATGTTTTTTAATACCAATTTGAAGTAGTTAATTTCAGGTATAATTATTATAAATGTCTTAGGAATAAAATGTAATCCTTAAATATGAAGGTTTTTTGTTTCAAATATTAAACTAATGTCAGCTCGGATCCAATCCATTTCAACCCATTCAATCCATTTTCATAGATTTAAAAAAATTTTAATCCATTCTCGTTTACTGGGTAGCAAATTTATATTAATTGTTGATAATGTCAGTATTCTTCAATTATCTTCGGGCTCTTTTTATACAGTCCAGAATTGACGATCTTTAATATTATCTCGTCTACTTATAAGAGTCTAAGCACAAGAATTGTTATAACACTTACTTAGAGACTTAAATTGTAGACGTAAGTAACGCACAAGTTTTGGCATATGATGTATGACTTATTGCCGTCTCTTGGAGACACAGCAATAAGTAGGATAATAAGTACGTGAAAACTTATGCGTTACTTACGTTTACAACTTAAGTTTCTAAGTAAGTGTTACGACAATTCTTGTGCTTAGACTTTTATGAGTAGCACCAACGAGATAATATTAAAGACCGTCAATCCTGGGCTGTGTAAAAAGGACCCGAAGAAAATTGAAGAATGCTGACATTATCGATAATTAATATAAATTAAGTCTAAATAAGTGACAATTCTTGTGCTCAGATTCTACGCCCGTACATAGCACAGTATAGGTAAAAACAGTAATTTCATTCACATCAGCCAAAAATAGGGGCAACAGTTTTGTGCAATTTTCAACATGGCGCATCAATCAGTTTCCGTATTAATAAGATTCTTCGCTCTTATAAGTGCTTACGCGCAATTTTCAACATAGCACTGTGAGACATAAAGATCAAAGGTGCCAAACACAAAATGAAACTACTATTCTTAGCCCGGATTCTCATACGGGCAACAACACTCTGACACTGAACGCTGATTAGTAAAAAACGCTGATAGTAAAAAACAAGCGGGGGGGGGGATAAATTTTACCCCCACAATCAATCTGCGTTCGGTGTCAAAACGCTGTTGCCCGTATGAGGATCCGAGTTTACTTATATTGTGGCATAGAGCTGCATTCAGGAATTAGAACTGTCGCATACAAAATTCCGCAACAGTCCTAAGACGTAAACTTAAGCCGATGAACCAATCAGGATATTGTTTTAGATCTATGTAATCTAACGGAAATGGAAATAACAGTAATCTTATAACAGTAATCTCTATAACCTCGCAATAAGGTGAATTTCAAGCGATTGAAATTCGCCTTATGAATATTTACTGCTATTTCTATTTCCGTTAGAGTATGTAGTCTAAAGCAGTATCTTAATTGGCTCATCGGCTGAAGTTCACGTCTTAAGCTCGATTGCACCAATGTTACTTTAATTTTAAACGAGGCTTAAAATTCTTTCTGTTTCTATTTGATTTTAAAACGAGACAGATAGAGTTTTAAGTCTCGTTTAAATCAAACATTGGTACAACTAGGAACGTTCACACCTTGGAAAAGTAGAAAGTGGATAAGCGGAAGCCAATTAGAACTTAGTGGAAAAACAGAAGTAAACAAGCGGAATGTACCGCTTACTACTATCACCGATTGGTTTCCACTTTTCTGTTTTCCGCTTTTTTGTCAAGGTATGAATTGGCCTTAAGATGTCTTTTCATACGCAGCACGATGTGGCAGCAAAAAATGTTATGTGAAGCAAATTTTTCATAATTGCTTCCGCTACATTTGCTACTTATGAAAAAGAATAACGGCAACAGCATATGTATTAAAGTTTAACCTCCAATATGTCTTTTATTTGCTCAGCTTGAAAATTAAGGGAAGTTTTTTGTTGGATCAAAAAATATTTTTATTTTACATATTCTTAAAAATTGTACTTTCAAAAATATGTGATAAAAATATCAAGTCAAAATTTGAAAAATTGATCGAATTATAGTCTGTTGAAAAGTCAGGTAGCCTTTCGGAGCGCTAGAGCGAAGCGCTGCAGCTTATCTACGCGTCGTCCTCTTTTGTTTAGGTTTTTGCTCTATTATTTTTTTGTCATATTTCTACTGGCCACTATTAGGGCGTTAGTCATTTTTTTCCATTTTTATTTCAATATACTTTTTATTTCAGTATACTTCGAAACATTGAAGTGGAAGGATGTTCTTCAAGTTTTCGGTTATTTACAATTATTTTTTCGGTTTTGCATCATGTTCGTTAATACGAAAGAAAGTAAAGCAAATAATGTGCAGCCTGGATATAAATCCAAGAAAAGAAAATTTTATAGAATTCGACATACAAATGAAATAGAGGTGTCGTTCGCTAATGCTTCCGCAAAAAAACTAAAGAATAAAGACAATTTTGAAATCACAATCGATGCCATGCATGGATATCGAATTACACATTTCCTGTTTGTTTTTAATATACTGAAAACTTTACTGAAGTATAAAAAATGTGACAGTGATGTACATTTTTATATGAGAGGAGAACAAGGTTTAGGATTTAAAATTGTTATTGATTGCGATCACAATATAAATAATAAATTGTATTTTATAGTTGAGTTTAAGATATCGAACAATTTATCAATTTGATCAATAAAAATGACTGTACCAATAGCTTCAGTAATCTATTAAAGGTAATCTATTAAAATGAATATACACATTCATATACATATTCAGCTGTTACTGATGTATTTAATAATTGAATTGCGTATCGAGCTTTAATTTTCTCAAAACAACTCGGATTGATATGAGAATTTGTTAGTTTTAGAGCTAATCGAATATTATATTTAGAATCTTCTTCATAAAATTTTTTAATATGCTTAAATGAAACATGATGTTCCGTAAATATAAAATCATATTTTAGAAACATATTCTTTGAATATGTGTCATACATCATATATTAAGAAAATATTAGCATCATTTATTGTAAAGAAAGGATTGTCTTGTGTGATTTCTAATTGATTTATCAACATTATGTTATTAGAACCCATATCGCAAACTATAGATACCATTTTCAAATTGGTATTTTGTAATTTAATGATGCATTCAATCAACAATTCTTTTAAAATTTTAGAATTAGTCATAGATACCGAAAATACATATAATAATGATTGCTTCCAGATACCAAATATACATCGCACTAAAAAAACGCACGCCTGCCTTGCTGATTTTTGAATGATTTGCATTGACCATTATCAACTAAACCAATAACTTCATCTTTGTTTATATTATAATATAAGTGACATTTAATTGACATCTCTCGTCAATGCTAATTGTACGTATCTTCTTTTTTCATAACTTTAGTTTGATTTTATCGATGTAAAATCGAAGATATTTTGACTTATATCACATTTTATAACTAAATTTCTATTAATAATTCTCCTCAAAGTTTTAATCGATGGCAAAATAAAAATTGTAGATAACGTTTTATACATTTTTGGACTTTTGAAATAAAGTCGGAAACAATATTCCTTAAAAAGTTCATTTTGAATGTTAAAACTTGTATATATATTGATTTGTATATAATTCAATAAAGTAAGGACCTGAACATAATGGAAGAATAGGAATTAATGATCACGTTTACACGGCACACTTAATCAGGTTTCATAACATCTGTAGTTAT